TATTTAAATATTTAGCTAAATATTTAAATATTTAGCAAGCTACCTAAATATTTAACTTGCAAGTTAAATATTTAGCTTGTTAACTAAATATTTAATTTGTAAGTTAAATATTTAGTTTATAAACTATGACATTTATAAATGTATGAATCATATGGTGAAAAACTGACTTTGAAAAATAAATCTGTTCTTTTTTCTTATAAAAGGATAAATAAAACAAAAATGTTGGTGATTTTTGACTGTGTAACTTTACAAACGGCACCTCATAGTTGTCACCTGAGTTTTGAATCTGTTCAAAAAATGTTCTTCAGAACTGATCAGTCTCCAGTTGTTTCCAGATAAGTTAGAGCTGATGTTTAACGCCTGCATGGGAGGTTTCCTCCATTATGAAGACCTGGACGGTCCACCTTCTGTTGTAAGAGGGGCTACAGCAGGTTAAATATTACTGAGGACGTCATGAACCAATGTGGGCAACAAAAGCTTTGTGATGTATGCCACAACTCTTGACTGTGTTAAGAGAACATTTCTCACACAGAGTTTGAACATGTTCAAAATTCAAGCAACAAACCTGTAGACGTTTGAGAACAAGGAACTTGAGGACCCCCAGGATCTCACCAAGACCCTTTATGACACCCTTAACGAGTGCCGTTCAGCAGCTGTAGTGGCTCTCAGCCTCGTTGCCTCAGGTTTGAGCTTGTTGTGATCAGGGWGGTTTCTGTGGAGCAGAACATGAAACCTGCACCTGTGTGTGATCCTATCATCATACATGTAAGGAGTTGTTTGTTTTTATCTGAACTGGTGAGCGCAGATGTTGGCTCTGTTTTACCCTCACACACACAGAGGAACTGAGCCTTGGTTGGATCTGTCCCACAGTGTGGTGACTGTGCTGTGTGGTTGTTCTGGGGGATGGGATGTGAATGGTGGGCTCCTCTTCAAGCTGTCAGCAGCCTGTCACGTCACAGTGACTCCCCGCTGTGAGGTGCCGGCCTCAGCAGCCTGATTACCAGCTCTAACCTATTGTCAGTCTATTCATCTGGTTTTCTGCAGTGCCAGCATTGGACACTTTCCCAGAATTCCTTTAGTCTCCCCCCGGTCCTCCTCTGGGATGTTCCAGTGTGTGTGCTTACAAAAGAGTGGCGTTAGAATAGTCTGATGAAAACACACTCTGTGAAACACTGGATTGTAGAGCAACAGGACACATTTACCAGCAGTTTTACTGCAGGAACTGTTTCCTGCACACACTCACAGTATTTAACTTGCCTGGAAAGTTGTTTGCATCAGAAGCTTTTATACATATCTGTTCTTACACTGCAGCTCAGGGCTGTTGGGTTGAAAGACTAAAGACAGCAGCAGTGAGGAATAACTCAGGAAACCAACTCTAACTATAGGATAAATCAAAAAGGAAAATCTAAAGCCTATTATTAAAAGTACCACACAGGTTGTGAGAATAAAGAAGTTGTGTACAACGTAAATAAACCTTGAATTTAAAAGATTGGACCATGATGTGCATCGTAGTTATTTATCTAYGTGACTTCTAAAGCTGTTGAGCTTCAACCACTTTTTTGGTTTGATTTCTTTTTAAAACAAGTATTTTGCCTCATTTAACCATGTTTTTGTAGAAATTATTTCTTTTAATTAAACAGATTATATAAAACAAGAACAATAGAATGTAAGACTAATAATAGAAAGATAGTAAGAAATGAATACTTTTACTTTGTACCAATTTTAGGACACTTTTTTAAAGCAGTTCTGTATAATACATATACACTTTAAACAGTTTTTGAAGCAAACACAGCTGGATAAACTGAAAGTATGAACTTTGATGTGATCAGCCGGACATTGAGAGCAACAGAGTTTTATGTCACGGGTGGAGTGCCGAGCTCGAGGTGCTAGCATTCCGTAACGTAAAAGCTGACTACAGTTGAAAAAAGAGCGCACAAAACACTTAATTTGTCTTAAAATACARACATTCTGACAAATAAGTAACTGTTTGTAACCTTACCTCAGCTTAGAAGGCAGAGGATGTCGTATTTTCCGCTCAGATTCAGCTATCGGAGCATGAAGCTAATGTTTACTCACAATGCTAATGCTACCCTTACTCTCTGGTGCTCAAGAGGTAGAGGAGCCAAATGTCTGGCTCACTGCTGCCAACTAGTGGTCAGAGGCTGAACTACAACATAAAAATGAACGGCTGGCAGGAAAGTTGACATTTTAAAACTTAATAAAAAATCGATACAGGGCTTTAGAATATCAATACAGTATCAGGAAATGAAATATCGCGATATTTCAGTGGATCAATACTTTCTTACACCCCTAGTCCTGGTCTGTTCTGTGGCAGAGAGTTTATTAGTCTTTAACACGCTGTTGTTTGTGTTTTACACTGCAGCTTGTGGAAACATCCCTGAAAGGTGAGATCTCCTTCGACCCCTGCTGTGCCTACTACCTGTGGTTCGTCACAGACTTTTGTGATGGAGGGGACATGAACGCCTACCTCCTCTCCCGAAAGCCCAGCCGCAAGACCAACACCAGCTTCATGCTGCAGCTGGGCAGCGCCCTGGCCTTCCTGCACCGGAACCAGATCATCCACCGTGACCTCAAACCCGACAACATCCTCATCTCGCAGGTGTGCACGCCCACCGGCCTGTCCGAGCCCACCCTCAAAGTGGCAGACTTTGGCCTGAGCAAAGTGTGCTCCACGTCCGGGCTCAACCCTGAGGAGCCGGCCAGCGTCAACAAGTGCTTCCTGTCCACGGCGTGCGGAACGGACTTCTACATGGCCCCGGAGGTCTGGGAGGGCCACTACACGGCCAAGGCTGACATCTTTGCCCTGGGGGTGATCATCTGGGCCATGGTGGAGCGCATCACCTTCGTGGACGTGGAGACCCAGAAGGAGCTGCTGGGGAGCTACGTGCAGCAGGGCTCGGAGATCGTCCCGTTAGGGGAGGCTCTGCTGGAGAACCCCAAGATGGAGCTGCTGATCCCCGCCAGGAAGAAGAGCATGAACAGCCACATGAAGCAGCTGATCAGGGAGATGCTGTCGGCCAACCCTCAGGAACGACCCGACGCCTTCGAGCTGGAGCTCAGACTGGTGCGGATCGCGTGCAGAGAGCTGGACTGGGACACGTGATAGGAGGGACGGGGACAGACTCCGCCCACCCAGCACATGTACATGTCTTATACTGTCCAGTGAGACTGGAGCTAAAGGAGAGTTAGAGTAGATGTTGGATGTACCATGGTTCATTTTCTGTCTGAGCACATACGGTTCTTCTACAAGCTGTGTCTTTATAAAGAGAGAGAGGTGTGACACCCACAGCTGCTGCTGCTGCTCCGAACTGCAGCTTCGTCTCAGGCCACGCACTCAGCCGCCGCTTCCTCACAATCATGGCTCGAGCATGAAGAACAGAACAAACCCCAACATGTCTCCAAACACACCCTGACCTCGGTGCTAGCTGGAACTAAATGCAATACGAGCCGCCGGCCGGCCTGCTGTGAGTTTTCTGTTCCCAGCAGCCTCAGCGTGGAGGCTGGCCTCAAACCAACTCCAGCTTTATTATTTACAGCAGTTTTACTTTCAACACTCAGGTAACAAACACAAACAGCATGATGGTATTTGTAGACAAATGTCTGCTGTTTCCTTCAGTTTGGCTCTTAAACCCAAGCTTCCTGCTTCTTCAGAGGTGCAGCTTATATGTCCACAAGWTTTAAAATCAGCTAAAAAGTCTKTTTGATCTTGTTTTSAGACTGATTTACTAAACAAGAACTGATTGTGTAAGAATAATCATCTTGTTTTCAGAATGTGTAAGATTATTTGTCTTGTTAGTCTGAAAATTTGACTCTAATTAAGTCAAACATTTCTGCCAGTGGAGTAAGAACATTTTACTTGGTAAGTCCTGATGCATCTCAGTAATCCAGGTAAAAAATCAAAATAAAAATGTGTAGGTCTTCTGGACGGGTTCTTC